CAAACACACACACACACACTCACACTCCCACACACACACACACACACATATATATATATAAAGATTTGTAGCCTTACATCTGCTAAATGATTAAATGTAAAGGACCTAGAATCGAGTCTGTGATTCAGCTCTTTGACGACAGGTGGCGCAGTTCAGCGCTTTCACTGCTTACATAAACACATCGTTTGTTGCTTAATTATTTTTCTCTCTTTTATCATTTTTGTATATTCTGTGTAGCCTCTTTCAGCGTTTATAATACTAATATGTTTGACTTATTGTTGTTCTGTTGTATAATGTTTCCTGTGGACCGATTATCAGTTATTTTTGAAATAGTGAATTTCATAATGCGTTCATACTGTTTGCGTGGGGGCGGGGCTTGGCATAGATTAGGCAAATACCCCGCGCTCGCAGCCAATGGCGCGCTGCCGTGCGCTTTTATTATGCTAATGAGCCAGCGGCTGCGGATCTCCTGCGCCTTTGTGTCCAAACCACCGGCGCATCGCGGGATAAATCACGCACAGAGCCGAGAATGTGACATTCTTCACCCGTGTCGGTGATTCGGAGCGTCTGATGGGCAGAACAGAATGAATTCTCCGTGTTACCCGGTGGCGATGGATGTCGGTGTTTGCCAGCTCAGGAGTTTTTCCATCTCGTTCCTGTCGTCGGTTCTGGGCGCTGAGAGCTCGACAGCAGTCAGTGTAGAAAACAGGTGAATGTTACCTTTACCTTCAGCCGAGATGCAGCGAGCGCGTCATCGCTGCTGTCAGTGTAATTACGCGAATGTGATGTGATGTGATGTAATAACCGATCGCTGCACCGGAAAACCCCTCGCGTCCATCTGATGGATCCTTTCGGTTTCGATAGACCGGATCTTCATCTGCAGGAGCGTCGCGTTATTCCGTTTCTCCCGCTGTGCGTTTATGCAGATGTTATGCGATATTGATGAAACGTGTTTCTCGTTTTTTCCCACAGTTCCTCCGGAGCCAGTGTTGTGGCCATAGACAACAAGATCGAGCAAGCCATGGTGAGTCTGATCTGCTCTTGGTGTTGATCATTATTCTGCTATTCAGCACACAAACACTAATGCCAGGAAAGCCAATAAACCGGTTTAATGTCATTAATAACACAGTCATGGATATACGGAATATGAAAGCGCAGAACAGCTGCTCGCTGTGTGAAATAACTGGGTTATTATCTCTGAGAGAGCCGCAGTGATTGGGAATGTGATTTATTTGAATGTGTTTGTGATGAGTGTGGATCCGGCTGTGTTTGGAGCCTGTGCTTGTTGCTAGGCAAACTCTGCCACACAGATGCCCTGAATAACCCAGCAGCTCCACCCTCTGATGAAGAACGTTCTGTTCCTCTGCGACCAGCAGCCTGAAGATTACACACACACTGATGGCTTTAACTGATATAAACACATTGTAAGAAACAAAATCTAATTCAAATGACAAAAACGCAACAGAATTACTAAAACTAAACGGAAAACATAAAAACTATAATAGTATATCAGTGATACTAGGGTGTGTTCACACGTGTCATGTTTGATTCGATTAAACCGAACTCTGGCGCGGTTCGGATGAAATGTGAACGCAACACGGACCAAATACTTCTAAATGAACCAAAAACAGGAAGTAATGACAAGATGCGACGCTGTGGGACATGATTTGACGACGCGGTGAATCCAAAACAAAAGGAGCAGAGGGCAAACGTGGAGCACCGAGGAGGTGAAGTGCGTTTTACGAGCTCCTCATGAGTTCACGCAGCAATGAGTGCGCTTATTTCAGCAGAAAGCATTAGGTATATTTGACTTAAAGGGATAGTTCACCCAAAAATGAAAACTTGATCTGCTTACCCCCAGTGCATATAAGATGTAGGTGACTTTGTTTCTTCAGTAGAACACAAACGAAGATTTTTAACTCAAACCGTTGCAGTCTGTCAGTCATATAATGGAAGTGGATGGGAATCACGGCTTTGAGAGTCAAAAAAACATATACAAACAAAACCAAATTAAAGCCTGCAGTCTGTCAGTCATTTTAGTGTCAGGGTTTAATTTGGTTTTGTTTGTGTATGTTTTTTTTGACTCTCAAAGCCGTGATTCCCATCCACTTCCATTATATGACTGACAGACTGCAACGGTTTGAGTTAAAAATCTCCGTTTGTGTTCTACTGAAGAAACAAAGTCACCTACATCTTGGATGCCCTGGGGGTAAGCAGATAAACATCACATTTTCATTTGTGGGTGAACTATCCCTTTAAAGCGGCGCTGAGCAGAGCGATCGGTGAACAGGTGCTGTGATGGTCGAACACAGCTTCTGTTTGGTGTTCGGTGAGTTTTGTCACTAAATATACGTCATCAACTCGACCAATCAGGTGTGAACGTATCACTATGTGTTCAGGTTCGGTATCTTTAGGCAGTGTGAACGCTCAGCGGATCAGGTGCAAATGTATCGTTTTCTTTTTTTGGTCCGGACCAAACGAACCAAGAGAACCGAACTACAAGTGTGAACAAAGTAACACTGACATGAGAATATTTTTGCAAATGTTTGCAGGTTTTTGGGGCTTTTACTGCTGTAGAGACTGATTTTAATCTTTTTTTTTTTTGATACACTGGTGGTCAAAAGTTTGGAATAATTCAGATTTTTTTATGTTTTCAACATCAGAAGTGACACTGAAGACTGGAGTAATGATGCTGAAAATTCAAGAGAAATGCATTACAGTTTAACAGACATTATAATAATATTTCCCTGTTTTTACTGTGTTTTGATCAAATGAATGCAGCAGAAAACATCATCCAAACGTGTGTGTGTGTTAAGCTCTTGTGTCTCACTGTAATGCGCAGGACCTGGTGAAGAGTCACCTGATGTTCGCGGTGCGTGAGGAGGTGGAGGTGCTGAAGGAGCAGATCAAGGAGCTGATGGAGAGGAACTCTCAGCTGGAGCAGGAGAACTCTGTGCTGAAGAACCTGGCCAGTCCAGAGCAGCTGGCGCAGTTCCAGGCGCAGGTCCAGACCGGATCTCCCACCGCAGGGGCCCCGCCGGAGGGCCCCGGACCCACCGCCTGACTACCTCTCGAGACTATACTGTGAACGGACTCCACAGTCGGTCGTCTCAGACACTGCTTATCAAACATCACCCGCCTCAGACAATCAGTACTGACCCTGACGGACACGCGTGACCTCCTGAGCTTCACGTGTGCATGCGTGTCAGTGGCGGGAATCATGCTGTCGTTGCCACATTCAACTTGTGTTTATACGGTGTTTCCAGTCGCTCTGCTGGTTTTGTTACTGGTTTTATCAGTTTGGCTTTTAGTTTTGTTCCT